CAAATTTAGAGTTTATTTTAATGAGACCGCGAGAACGGGAGACGAAGAATACCTTGTAGACCATTCTATCATCCACTACTTCATGGGTAAGTCTAGGGTTTAGGGTTTAGGGTTTAGGGTTTAGGGTTTAGGGTTTGGGGGTGACAGGGACATCCTTCTCTTTCTTCTCCTCACTTTTAAAGTGCAGTTGTCCAATCCTTCTAACGAAGCAGTGGCGTTATGAATGCTCACCGTTTAGGGTTTAGGGTGTAGGGTTTAGGGTTTAGGGTTTAGGGTTTAGGGTTTAGGGTTTGTGTTGCAGGGCTGGACGGTTCTCTTAAGGATTTCTTTGGCCAGAATATGACTGCAAGAGAAATAGCACAGAAAATATCAAAGCATATCAAAGAAGACAGAATAAAGAAAGAAGAGCGGCGAAGCAAGCCAAACCCTAAACCCTAAACCCTAAACCCTAGATTCGTTCAAGCATTAATTTATGGTTCATCCCTGGATCTTTAGGCAGCCAGATTTCCGTGCCTTGTTTGGATCTATTCTCTTCACACGTTGGGGGTTTAGGGTTTAGGGTTTAGGGTTTAGGGTTTAGGGCTGAGGGTTTAGGGTTTAGGGTTTGGCTTGGCTGTTTGCAGAGGCAGCTCAGACAGATGAAGAGTGAGGGGACGGCCTCCTCGGACGCCACTGGCATGCGGAATGAGCAGCAGCAGCAGCAACAACAACAGCTGCAGCAACAACAGCTGCAGCAACAACAGCAGCAGCAACAACAGCAGCAGCAACAACAGCTGCAGCAGCAGCAGCAGCAGCGAAGCAGCAACGCACAGGACACCGATGCAGCAGCAATGCAAGCGATACAAACAGCCGTAGCAACAACAGCAGAAACAGCAGCAACAGCAGGATGAGCAGCAGCGGCAGCAGCAGCAGCAAAACCCTGCTGCTATCTGTTCTTTGTGTGCATACGGCCCCACACCCTCCTCATTAGTTTGACGATCTTCTTACTGCTCTCTCCTTAACCCAAAGTATATTTGTCAGTCTTAATTTGGAAACTGTTTAGGGTTTAGGGTTTAGGGTTTAGGGTTTAGGGTGCGGGGCCGATGGCTTCTGCTGAACCGCCGCTGTAGGTGAGTAGCAGCAGAAGATAAAATGCGTTGAGTGTTTAGGGGAAGACACGGAACATCTGGGGTGTATCTGCTGCTCTCCGTTCATATCCTTTAGGATTTAGGGTTTAGGGTTTAGGGTTTAGGGTTTAGGGTTTAGGGTTTAGGGTTTAGGCTCGAGGTCACCTGGCTGCGCTCTTCTTCCTTCTTCGGCGAATGGTTTTGTTTATTTAATGAATATTTTAATTTTAATTGTTTTAAATATCTCTAATATCTTTATTTTAATCAATAAATGCCTCAACAGCTGCAGAGCAGCAACACACCCTGCACATGAACTCAGTTCAGGTGTACGTACAGCTCAGCTGCCTTAGATCCAAGAAATCTGTCTTCCTTGGGGTAGAAAGCAGCAAATAATTGATTGATCTGTGCATAATTGAGTTTATTTCAAAATATTAAATTAAAATTTTAATTATTTCAGCGTTTGTACGGCGAAAAAACACAAAAAAATACTTAGCTCTCTGCTACCTACGATCTCGGGTGTATAGGCAGCTCAGCGACTCCTCATTTCAAGTAAAAGAAGCAGCAGCAGCGAAATAAGTTTTTTCTTCGCTTGATCTCAGTCTTCATGATATCCTGTGCCTCCCTGCATTTGCTGCTTCACCGATGCAGCAGCAGCAGCAGCAGCAGCAGCAGCAGGAGCGAGTGTTGCAGCAGCTACTTATCGAAGCTCCCCGCCTGGGATCTCACGTGAGGGCCCCTATGAAGGGCCTCTCTTCAGCAGCTTCTGCTGCAGCAACACCAATGGCTTCAGGTGGTTTGCTGCAATTCTGCTGCGGCAGCAGATCTTACACGGGCACGGCTGCTGCTACCCCTGCTGCAGCTGCTTCGTCTCTTCTCACCTTCACCGAGACGCACCCTCCCTACTCCGTCTTCATCAATAGAGAAACAAGTGCTGCTGCTAAGACCCCAGCTGCAGCTGCTGCTGCTGCTGCTGCTCATGGTGGTGCCGCGCGAGTTGCTAAGATCGATGCAACTCTCTCAAAGGCATTAGGCAGGGCGGAGCAGCTGTACAGGCAGCAAAAGAAGTGCGTGTTGCTGCTGCTGTTGCTGCTGTTGCTGTTGCTGCTGTTGCTGCTGCTGCTGCTGCTGCTGTTGCTGTTGCTGCTGCTGCTGTTGCTGCTGCTGCTGTTGCTGTTGCTGCTGTTGCTGCTGCTGCTATTGGTGCTGCTGTTGTCGATGCTGCTGCTGCTGTTGTCGATGTTGCTGCTGCTGTTGTCGATGCTGCTGTGGGTTTTGTTTTAGGCTGGAGGCTGAGCTGGCAGCAGCAAGAGCAGAGGCATTGAAGCTGCAGCAAGTAGCAGCAGCAAGCAACACGAGTAGGGCCTCGCTGGAGCAGCAGCTGCAACTCCGAGCAG